GAGGGGGTGGGAGTGAGGAACTCAAACAGGCAGCAGAAACAGACAGAGCAGGCTGTTAAAGAAGGGCAAAAATTATGTCTTTACTTTCCATTGCTTAATTCATTTTTTTTTGAGTCAGGGTTTCTCTGTGTAGCTTTGGAGCCTATCCTGGCACTCGCTCTGGAGACCAGGCTGGCCTCGAACTCACAGAGATCTGCCTGCCTCTGCCTCCCGAGTGCTGGGATCAAAGGTGTGCACCACCAAAGCCTGGCTTTTGAGTTCCTTTTTATGGTGAACATTTGGATGTGTTTAAAGCTTCTAAAGATACCTGGCTAAATTCTCCCCAGTACATTCCTACTGCTCTTCTTTCCGTGGGGATGTTTTAACACTGTGGGCAACACAGGGCCTGATGATCTCTGTTCCCTCCTGGATAATCATGTGACGTGTTCCTCAGGGACGACCTGGCCCAGCTGCCCTTCCTCACCATGTGCATCAAGGAGAGTCTGCGGCTGCACCCTCCGGTCACAGTCATCTCCCGCTGCTGCACCCAAGATATTGGGCTCCCAGATGGCCGGGTCATCCCTAAAGGTGCCCAGGGGACAGGGAAGGAGGGTCCTGGGCACACAGCAGGGCTGTTCAGCAGCAGCAGGCTCACCCTCCTTACCCCACTTCACCACAGGTGTCGTCTGCATCATCAATATTTTCGCGACCCATCACAACCCAACTGTGTGGCCTGACCCTGAGGTGCTGTAAACCCCTCCATCCCTCCATTCTTTTTCCTTACAGTGGTCCAGCAGAAGGAGCCGGTTTAGCCTAGGGAAATCAGCCCTTCCCTTCCCTACCACACACAAGGCTCTTTCTCTGGCTGTGCTGGGAGATGTGGCTCATTGTCTCTTTCAGGTCTATGACCCCTTCCGCTTTGACCCAGAGAATGTCAAGAACAGGTCACCTCTGGCTTTTATTCCCTTCTCTGCTGGGCCCAGGTGAGGCCAGAGGGCTTGAGGTGATGGGACAAAGGTTTGGGGAAGATGGAGAAGGTGAGAAGTTGGGACAGTCGGGATCTAGGTCTCATTCCTGCATCTTCGAAGGTTAAGTAAAGATGTTCAGTACCGAGACTGGTTAAGTCCAAGAACCACAGCCCTGTGCTGATCGGTTCATGGGATACAGAATGTGGATGGAAACGAGGGGCCCCAAATAAGTTAGTTCCTCTTGGAGGGCTGCCCCTCCAGCTGGCTGACCAGGTGGGTAGGATACCTAGGCCAGGTTTCAGTGATAGGTGTGTCCACCAGGACACAGTCAGAGCCCCCACCCAACCCTCCCGCAGGAACTGCATAGGACAGACTTTCGCCATGAACGAGATGAAGGTGGCATTGGCCCTGACACTGCTGCGTTTCCTTGTCCTACCCGACGACAAGGAGCCCCACCGGAAGCCCGAGTTGATCCTGCGTGCAGAGGGCGGGCTGTGGCTGCGGGTGGAACCTCTGAGCTCACAGTGACCCCTTACACTTTGATGGACCATGGCACCCATCCACCTACCTCTGCAGATCCCAGAATACGCAGATCTATCGCCTGTGTGGGAGGCTCGCACGCGGAATACAACAGGAGACACCAGAGGACAGCAGGACAGCAGCGTTAGGGTCTGGAGTGAGATGGAGCTAATTAATGTCCTTGGACCGCGACCACTGACTTCCTCTGACTGTTCACAGGCCCTGCTTTGTCTTCCAGCATAGCAGGACCTACTCCCTTAGACAATAGAGAAAACGGGGAGTGTCAGGTCAGGATGGGGGCCAGAATGGAGCTCAGGAAACCTTTGAAACTGAGGTACATTTCCATTGCCTTGACTTCCAATCTAATCCCAATACTTCTCTTATTTTGGATTCTTCAGTGTTTGTGAAAAAACTAAATTTCTAGGTTGATTAAACCTAACAAGCCAGGCATTTGCTCTTGGTTTTTATTTTGATTTTCTTGTTGTTGTTTGAGTAGAGGTCTCACTACACTGCCCTAGATGCTCTCAGATTTCTACTCCTTTGTTTATTTTGACTGTTAATGCCTCGTTTTATTGTTTTTCCTGTCATTCCTTTGGGTTTTTTTTCTTTTATCTCTTATTGACAATAGATTTTTTTTAGTGACTCTTTTTTTTAAGATTTTTATTTATTTATTATGCATACAATATTCTGCTTCCATGTATATCTGCACACCAGAAGAGGGCACCAGATCTCATAACAGATGGTTGTGAGCCACCATGTGATTGCTGGGAATTGAACTCAGGTCCTCTGGAAGAGCAGTCAGTGCTCTTAACCTCTGAGCCCTCTCTCCAGCCCCGACGATAGATTTTTAAATTTTATTTAACTTTATTTTAAATGCATTGGTGTGAAGGTATCAGATCCCCTGGAACTGGAGTTAAGACAGTTGTGAGCTACCATGTGGGTGCTGGGAGTTGAACTCAAGTCTTCCAGAAGAACAGTCAGTCCTCTTAACTGCTGAGCCATCTCTCCAGCCCAGACAATAGATTTTATTTTCACACAATATATTCTGATTAGGTTTCCCTTCCCCCTACTCCTCCCTATCTTCCCTCGCACCTGGCTCCACATCCTATCTGTCTCTCATAAGTAATCAAGCAGAAATATAAACATACAATAAAAAATAAAGTAAAATAAGATAAAACATAATCAAATAGGAACAGGGAAAACAACCAAATAATAAGAATCAAAGAAATAGTACAAAAAAAAAAAAAACCCTCACATACAGATGCAGAGACTTACCAGTGCAAGCTTTGAGCACACAGACGCGCGCGCGCGCGCAAACACACACACACACACACACACACACACACACCACACACACTCGCACAGAGGAATCCCATAAAAACATAAACCTCGGAGTCATAATGTATACGCAAAGGACATGTAAGGGGAAAAACGCCCTGACTTAATATTATAAAACAAAGAACCTCCAAAGATCCTCTTGAGTTCCTTTTGTGGTGGCCTTTTCTCTGAGGAGCCTGGAGCCTGCCTTTGACAGGGGTAAATTTTCTCAGTGAATCTAAACTGCTAGTCTTCAAGGGGCCTCTGTCTCAGCCTTCCAAACAGCTGGAACTATAACCTACAGGACACTGTACTGAGCTAGCCCTAACTGCATGCAAAATTGAGGACAAAGGGGTTGGGGGAATGGGTGGTTGTTTTAAGACTTTTCTGGGGGAGATTCACCTCAAGTAGTGTACCAAAGACAGACCAAAGAATCTGCATAGTGAACTAATGAGTCTGTTGACACCACTTACAAGGTGTAGACAAAGGTTTATCCAGAAGCATAGATGACTCAAAGGCAGCTACATCACAGAAAAACCCTCCCAGCTTCTGAGTACTCATGAAAGCCACATCCTTGGTCTCAAGTCTCTCCTTTCCTCCTTTCCTCCCTCTCCTGCACTCCTCACTACTTCCATAACCTTTGAATCTTGTAAATTTCAGGGATTTCCTGAGATTTGTAAGGTGTTTACTTTCTGAACCTTGTAAGTTTTGTTTGTCTTAAGGCTTTTTCTAAATTCTAATGCTTTGGTTTGAATGAAATTGCTATACAACAGTAGTACATGCCACGGGAAACATTTGTCAGTGCTATGGTTATACCTGGACTGCCCTCTGTGGCTATAGGACTCTCAAAGCCCTCCAGGACACAGAGTTCAAGTCTTGCAGGTGTTTACACAGTGGTGGATAATTGGGATTATTGTCAGCTATAATAAGGAAGACAGTTGAGTGGGTAAGCATGCTGATGGATCCTGCAAGTGTCCTGGCAGGGAAGCGAACCCCTGAAGAGATGAGAATGAAAACTCAGATTGACTTTGTCAGCCTGGACCAGGCTTGAGGAGTCTGATGACAGACAGTTCCTTGTTACCATATTTAAAACACAATACAATTTGGGGAAAGTTTCCAGGCAACCATTATTCCCATTCCAGGTTTCCAAGCAACAATTCCAGGTACACAATAAAAGTTAAGGTGTGACTACATAGAAACTCCTTTACAAAGTACATAAAGGCCTAGATTTAGTGTAGTCTCTGACAGATAGTATAGAGATCAGCAAGTTATAAAACAGAAGAGACATCTCCCCTGTGGATGGGTTTAACTGGGAACTAAAGAGAATGGTCCAGGGAGAGAGAGAGTCTGGTATAAACAGTCTGGGGAATATGGATGAAGTCTGCCTCTATAGAAAAAGTCCCCAGGTCATTAACAAAATTCACTCCCAGCCTACTGTGTGGTAAAATGGGTATTTTATACCCTCCATTAAGGAGAGGCCCTGTATGCTTAACGTTCCTGGTTCCCTAGTGGCCTGTGGGCACAAGGACCTTTGTGCCTCCAACAAACTGCTACCACAGAACACCCAGGTTTAGCTTACAGCACTCACCTGGCAGCACACAACTCTCTAAAATTCTAGCCCCAAGGGCTCTGACTCTCTCTTCTGGACTCTGAAGGCACTACATGCATGTGATGGACATACATACCTCAACTCAGTGTAGACACCAATCAGGATTTCATGTGTGTCAGTAGAACCCAAGTGTGTACTAGGCATTGACTAAGTCATGCATCTGTAATAGTATTCCTCATTTCCATACACCCCCACATGTCTAAGAACCACTCCATGCTCTTGTCCCTCCACTGAATCAGGTGGGCAATTGCTATTTTCTTCACTTTACTGATTAGGGTCTCAGTGTCTCAGGTGCTTGTGAGTTCACTGACCACATAGACCTTAACAATGGTTCTTGTGGATGTCACCCATGAGCTTTCAACCGGTGTACTCGGCTCTTCCAGTGGACAATGCCCCTTACCCTTGACATTCAGTTGTCCTAGTTTCCCTAAGGGTTACTTCACACCTTACTTCACAGTCCTATCTAGGACCCCTTACATTTCCTAACAGAATCTATCATCTCCCCATCCCATGAAATTTTAGACTCTTTATGATGGCACCATCCAGATGGTACTCACTTTGGGTACCACTCATACCACATCCTTACCTCCTACATCCTAAGTCTTTCTTGCTTCTTCATCTCATCTGCTGCCAGATAATTCAGCTATGGGGTAAGTTTCTTCCCTCACAGGCTTCTCCTTAGCTGTTGTTATGTTGTCTTGTTAATCTTAATGACTCAAGGAGAAAAACCATTTACCCAAATCATCATGACCAAATTAATTAAAGCAAGCAATTAATTAAAGCAAGCTTGTTTACTTGTGTACATGAGCTGTCTTCCCCTATGGAGGAGCTCAAGAGGTCATCACTGGACATGGCAAGATAATGTTTTATGGCTCAGGGATATGGGATTTCCAAATGGGGGATTTAGCAGGCAACTGGACAGGATTATAGTAGTATTAGAAGTTAGTAATATTGACCTTCTGAAACAGAGAAATGATTACAAGACAGTCATAATGTAGTCATAACAACAGTGGGCATAATAACCTTTTCAGACAAAAACATGGTTCTATTTCCTTGAACAGGCAGTACTGGACCATCTGTAGTTAAGGTTACAGAGGGAGCATATACCAATCTTTGAGAAACAGAGATTTAATCATAAGCAGGAATGAATCTCTTTTGTCTTTACTATAAGATGGCTTTCAGCCAAAGATGGAGGCAGGATGGTTCATTGGTTTACCTGATACACACATCCTTAATTGAAGGATTGTAGCGAATGTGTTGCCTTTCGGGGAGGTCTTATCACAGATTAATAACTTCACTTCAGTATTGTAGCTCTCCTCTCTGTAGGTACTTGTGTGATATTTTGTTTGTGTTCTGACAAAGTTTGGCTAGAGACCAGAGGGTGGAGATAGCCACTAGTTAACCATAGAGATCTGGAAGTCTGTACAGACAGACAGGAAGTGATATATATAGCTGGGCAGAGAGAGGGAGTGATAAAGAGGGGGGGGTAGGAAGCAACTGGTGGCTGCTCTGCTGCTTCTCTGATCCTTCAGGTTTTATCCTGATATCTCACTCCTGTTTTTTATTGATTAAGACTAATTAGATTCTCACTTCATACTTGTGATTGCCTTTCTTTTGATCTTCTTTGCTAGCACTTCCCTTATTATTCCCGTCAGCTGAGGGGACAGAGAGCACAAGACTTTTGTAAGATATAGGCATTTCAGCAGAGTATATAGCATATTTTTCCTAGAATACCTTCAGTACCTCAAAAGATCCCCACTTGGCACCCTCACAGTGATATTGCTATGTCTGGTTTTTTGGGTTTGTTTTCCTTTAATGACTCGTTGGGTTTAGAATGTTCTTGTGAGCATGTTCAAGGAGTCATTTGTTTATTAGAGCATGTGTAAGTAATCATTGACTGCACCACTGGAAAAAATGACCCCATCCCACCCCTTCCTCTGTGTTCTTGCTTGCTGTGTATTGCAGCCTTTGGTATAGGAAATCATAGTGTTCTACATCCCTAATCTGATTATGGTAGAAATACCTGGCTATTGATCTGTGTTTAAGAACATGAAGATAACTTGGGGTGTGGCTCAGTAGTAAA